GAAAAATTTAGAATCCGAGAAATCTGAAAACCGAAAAACCGAGATGTTAAAAATCGTGAGATCGAAAAATCTTAAACTGTAAAATTTAAAAAATTGGAAAATAAAAGAACCAAAAATTTTAAAATTGGAAAAATTGAAGAATGGAAAAACAGAAAAATCGAGAAATTGAAACATCAAAAAAATCGAAAATTTCAAACATCTAATCTAATTGAGAAATCAAGATAAGTCAAAATCGAAAAATCGAGTAGTTAAAAATTCAAAAAAATTGATAAATCCGAAATCGAAAAATTGAAAACTCGAAAAATCAAAAATATTAAAAATCGAAAAGTTGAAACATCGGAAAATTCAAAAAATTGTAGAATCGAGAAATCGAAAAATCTGAAATTTTAAAAATTGAAAAATTACGATGCCTATCGAAAAATTGAAAATCTAAAAAATATGTAATCGAGAAATCGAAAAAAGAAGAATGGAAATATTAAAAAATGCCAAAATTGAAATATAGTGAACCAAGACCTATAAGGTTATATGGCCATCATAAAAGTAGTTGACCGCAAATAAATACCCGCTTTGTGTGGTTCGCACTAAGCTTACCGGTTGGCAATAAATCATCTTCTAAACATTTCTTGCTCATATTTAACAGGGCCGGCTTTCAAAGCGAGTGATTATTTCGGAACCCTCAGCGGCTGCAGGTAGTAAAGAAATAGTGGAGTGGTGGATTTTCATATTTAGTGAAAGCCGCCTCTGAACGAAACCACACGAGCCGGTCGAGCTGCAGTGGACACGTTATTTACGACCCTAAAACCTTTTCTATTGTAAACAACTTAACTTCGACACAATGGGATGATTTTATGATGGCCATATAACCTTATAACTCTTGGTTCACTATATGTATCAATATTGAAAAATGAAAAAATTAAAGAATCGAAAAAAAATCTGAAAACTGAAACATCGAAAAATTGAGAAATCCAAAAGTTGGAAAATATATAAAATCGACAAATCGAAAACCTGAAAAATCGAAAAATCGAGATATTGAATTGAAAAACTGAAAAATCGAAAAATTGGCACAACGAAAAGACGAGAAATCGAGAAATGGAAAAATCAAACAATCGATTAATCAAGAAATTGGGAAATCGAAAAACTGGAAATTTAGAAATGTCAAAAATTGAAAAATTTTAAAATCTAAAAACTGAAAAGTCGAATAAAATTTGAAAAATAAAAAACTAAAATATCGAAAAATTGAGAAATCAAAAAATTGTATATTCACAATTTTGATTTTTTTTTCAAAAATTTCGAAATCCAAGATAAAAATTCGACAAAAATCTGGATGCCTACGGTAAAAACCTGAAAAATCGGAAAATCGAAGAATTGAAAAATTGAAAAATTGGAACATTGAAAACACAAAAAATCGAGAAATGGGAAAATCAAACAATCGATTATTCGAGAAATTGAGAAATCGAAAAATTAAAGATTTAGAAAAGTCAAAAATAGAAAAATTGAAAAATCGAGAAATCGAAAAGTCGAAAAACAGAAGTCAAAAAATCGATTATTTAAAAAATTCAATACCTGATAAATCGAAAAATTGACGAATTGAAAATTTTAGAACTCGGAACACCGACAAGACATGAAATCGAGAAATGGGAAAATCAAACAATCGATTAATCGAGAAACGTCAAAAATTTGAAAATCCAAAAACTGAAGAGCCGCAAATATGTATGAAAAACTGAATTATCGAATATTTGAGAAATCGACAGTTGAAAAACTGAAAAAACGAACAGCCAAACAATCGAAATTTCGAAAAGTTGTTATACCCACAATTTTGATTTTTTTTTTTTCGAAAATCTCGATGTCTAGGTTAACAATTTAACAAAAATTTGCATGCCTAAGGTAAAAACCTGAAAAATCGGAACATTGAAAGACGAGAAATCGAGAAATGCGTAAATCAAACAATCGATTAATTGAGAAATTGAGAAATCGAAAAATTGAAAATTTAGAAATGTCAGAAATCGAAAAATTGAGAAATCGAAAGGTTGAAAAATAGAAACTTTAAAAAAATCAAAAACCTGAAAAATCGGAGATTCGAAAAATTGAAAAATGAAAAATCGGAAAATCGGCACAACGAAAAGACGAGAAATCGCGAAATGGAAAATTGAAATAATCGATTAATTAAGAATTTGGAAAATCGAAAAACTGGAAAGTAAAAAACATCAAAAATTGAAAATTTAAAAATTTTTAAATCTAAAAATTGAAAAGTCGAAAATTTCAAAAATATTTATAAAAATTTGAGAATCGAAAAGCCGAAAAAATCTAAAATTCGAAAAATTGAAGAATAAAAAAACTGAATTATCGAAAAATTGAGAAATCGAAAAGCCAAAAAATTGAAAAAAACGAAAAATTGTTATATTCGCAATTTTGATTTTTTTTTCGAAAATCTCAACATCTAGGGTAAAAATTCAACAAAAATCTGGATGTCTAAGGTAAAAACCTGAAAAATCGCGAAAAATCGAAGAATTAAAAAATTGAAGAACTGCAAAATTGAAAAATTGGAACGTTGAAAAGACGAAAAATCGAGAAATGTGAAAATCAAAATATCGTTTATTCGAGAAAGTGAAAAACGAAAAATTAAAAATTTAGAAAAGTCAAAAACTGAGAAATCGAGAAATCGAAAAGTCGAAAAATCGAACCCGAAAATGGAAGTCAAAAAATTGAAAATTTATAAAATTCAATACCTGACAAATCGAAAATTTGAAAAATTAAGAAATCCAAAAGTTGGAAAATCGACAAATCGAAAACCTGAAAACTCGAGAAATCGAGCAATCAAACAGTCGAGAAACTTAGAAATCAAAACGAAAAATTGAAAAATGAAAAATCGGAAAATCGGCACAACGAAAAGACGAGAAATCGAGAAATGGAAAATTCAAATAATCGATTAATTAAGAAATTGGGAAATCGAAAAACTGGAAATTTAAAAACGTCCAAAATTGAAACATTTAAAAATTTTAAAATATAACTGAAAAGTCGAAAATTTCAAAAATATAAGAATTGGAAAATAAAAAACTAAAATATCGAAAAATTGAGAAATCGAAAGTTGAAAATTTGAGAATCGAAAAGCCAAAAAAATCGAAAATTCGAAAAATTGAGAAACCGAAAAATATCAATTTTGATTTTTTATTTAAAAAATCTCGAAATCTAGGATTAAAAATTCAAGAAAAATCTGGATCCCTAAGGTAAAAGCCTGAAAAATCGAAAAATTGAAGAATTAATAAACTGAATAATTATCGAAAAATTGAGAAACCGAAAAGCAAAAAATTGAAAAAACCGAAAAATTGTATCCGCAATTTTGTTTTTTTTTTTAATCTCGACATCTAGGGTAAAAATTCAACAAAAACCTGGATGCGTAAGGTAAAAACCTGAAAAATCGAAAAATGGAAGAATTGAAGAACTGAAAAATTGAAAAATTGGAACATTGAAAAGACGAAAAATCGAGAAATAGGAAAATCAAACTGTCGATTATTCGAGAAATTGAGAAATCGAAAAATTGAAAAATTGAGAAATCCAAAAGTAGGAAAATCGACAAATTGAAAACCTGAAAAATCGAAAAATCGAAATATTGAATTGAAAAACTGAAAAATCGAAACATTGAAAACTCGAGAAATCGAGCAATCAAACAGTCGAGAAACTGAAAAATCAGAAAATTTGAAAAATCGAAAAACCAAAAAATCTAAAATTCGAAAAATTGAGAAATTGTTATAATCGCAATTTTGATTTTTTTTTCAAAAATCTCGATGACTAGGCTAGGAATTCAACAAAAATGCCTAAGCTAAAAACTTGAAAAATCGGTACATTGAAAGACGAGAAATCGAGAAATTGAGAAATCGAAAAATTGAAAATTAAGAAACGTCAAAAATTGAAAAATTTTAAAATCGAAAATTTTAAAATCGAAAAATTGAAAAATCGAAAAATCGAAAAGCCGAAAAATTGAGAAGTCGAAAAATTGCTATATCCACAATTTTGATTTTTTTTTTTCAAAAATTTCAATATTTAGGATAAAAATTCAACTCGGATTCATAAACTACAAATGGGGGACTACGTTATTTTATAAAATTTAAATTTACAGAAAACAAAATACTTGAGGACCCTGACATTCATCCAAACTCTTAAAAAAATAACAAAATATTATGGGTCTTGAGAATTTCTTTCATATTTTTTCAGCAATTAAACGTTAAGTGTCCGAATAGAAAAGGACATTCTTTCAGAAATAAAATACCACAACTCTCAGAACCAGCGGTTTCCAAAATTCTTTAAAACTCATCTTGAAACAAATCAAAATTTTACAACGATCTTTCTAATACTTGCGAAAATTAGCTCAATAAATTAAGGCACAGTCGTTTGTAATGGGTGATCACCATTAAATTATCGCCAAATATTAATTAATTCATCAAATAAATAATTAATTAATAATAGAATAGCGTTCACAAAAATACCGTTCTGGCTACACACTCTCGCACCCATCTCTGCCCTATCACTAAAAGAAAAATTAATTGATAGTTCTGGTCCAAACGAGCTCGGTTATCTTTGCATCTCCGTCTGAATGTTTAATGAAATAATCCGAGTGTGTGGCGTTATCAGCGGCTATCACAATCCATTGATTGATCGTCCCCGCTCGACCATCTGAAGGGTGCAGGTCTAATTTCTTCCTGGATTGTTTGACTAAGATCTACGGCCTTGTTGGACCGTGTAACGGCAAACGGTACAACCGTTTCGAAACAATTAACAACCATTTTTTGAAAAGCCTGATCTAATCAGTGAAATATTGAATGAGATGGGTGAAATACAAACTGGTTCGTATTGTTCGTCGAGAGGTTAACATTTAAAGAGGTGTTTTATGATAATTTGGGCGGACGTGGATTCCAACGCAATGAGGGCACTAAAGCCGTCGACGTGGAGAACCATCGAAATTTTAATTGAGTACTGTGGTGGCTGACCGATTTTTTCTCTTGCAGGTCTTCGAGCGACATCAAGTTCCGCCAGCTAGCAGACGCCAGCCGCTTAATCCAGCTAATCTATAACGATGGAGAAGATTTAAAAGACTGCGAAATAATCCATCAAAGAGACCAAGTAAGAAAGTTCCTACACTCCTTCAAAAGCGACTTAGGCAATCTCATAGCTACCTCAAACGTCACCGTCGAATCCTTAGATAGTAAAAAGCTCCCCGAAGAGTTTTCCTCGTGGTTTAACTTCACCCAGCTGGTGAACCAGTGCAAGAGGCTCCACCACCAGATGAAACAAGAAGTATTAGAGATGAAGACTCATCAGACTGATAGGTAAAATGAGATTGGCGAAATGTGGTCTTCGTTGCCGGTCGTATTGTGTCAGGTGGCGGTTTTGTGTTTTTCGTTTTGGTTTGTTCCGTTTTGATTTGATTTTCTTGTGTTTGTGGATAGGTCGAAACGGGCGATTTTTGTCGCTCCGGGTACACTGTGGTGTGGGGATTCCAACAATGCGAAGCACTATACCCAGTTGGGGGTGCTGGCGAACACTGATAAGTGCTGTCGAAGACACGATCATTGCAAAATGATCATTCCAGGATTCAGTACCAAGTTTCACTACACTAACCTATCACCATTCACTCTTTCACACTGTCATTGCGACGAAAGGTAGGCACACACACATTCGAAATTACGAAATTCGAAATTAGGATTGAATTTTGGCATAAATTACAATTTTTCGTAGTTTGGCCACTTAAATTTTTAAAGAAATTGAAATAACAATTTATTGCTATTTGTTTCTCACTACTATAATACCCAACAATTTTTTTTCTATGTAAAAATACATCATAATGGGGGTTCAAAAAATTACAGGTTTGAAGTTGGCTGTGTTTTATTATTATTGAAATTTTTGCCGTGAATTTCTCGTAAGTTATTGATTTATTTAAGCAGAAGAAATTAAAAACAAAGAGGTTAAACATTCTTACCATTCTTTTTTTAATCTTATACATTACTAACAAAAATACTATTTTAGAAAATATTTTCTCAATGAAACATCTTTTCTGAGCTATCAAAAAGTCTGATTTTTTTTAGTTTCTAATTTTCTATAAGTTTTTTTTAGTTATTTTTCTATATTTTAGCTTCCTGTTCAGTGTTTATGTCATTTTTTTTAATAAAGATGATTTGCTGTTTTTTTTACTTTTTTTTTTAGGAGAAATTTGCCTATTTTTTTTTTAATTTTTCAAAACTACATTTTTCATGTAGTCATCTTTCAAACTGGTCTTTCCTTAAACACAAATTCTACTTTTTTGTTTTCATTTTGTGACACTTCTTGTAGAAGCTTTCTAATTTTTTATTTCTATAAATATCGAAAATTGAAAAATCCAAAATCTAGATCTCGAAAAATGGATAATCAACAAACGGAAAAATCGAAAAACCGAAAAGACAAGATTTCGAAAAATCGAATAATCGGAAAATAGAAAAACTGAGAAGTCGAAAATCGAAAGATTGAAATTCGCAACTTCTCGCAAATTCGAAAAATCAAACCCACAAATCGAGATTTCAAAAAATAAAAAATGAAAATTCGAAAGATCGAAAAATCTAAAATTGGAAATTTCGTAAATCGAACAGTAGCAAAATTGAAATTTTTAAATATCGAAAAATCAAGAAATTGAAAAGAGGATAAATTGAAACATTTAGGAATTAAAAATCGAAAAATTGAACAATGGAAACATTGAAAAATTGAAAAGTCGAAATTTCGAAAAATTGGAAAATCGAAATATTGAAAATTCCAAAAACCGAAAAAACGAAAACTCGAAAATTTGAAAAATCGAAAAATAAAAAAATGGAAGAAATTAAAATTCGAAAAATTGGAAAGTCGTGATATCGAAAAATCGTGAAGTCGAGGAATCAAAAACTCAAGAAATTGAAAGTCAGAGTTGAAAATTTGAAAAAAAAAGTTGAAAAACAGAAAAATCGAAAAATCAAAAACTAAAACGTCGACACATCGAAAAATTGAACAATCGAAACAATGAAAATTCTGAATGTTGAAATATCGAAAAACCAAGAAATCATAAAACAGAAAAATCGAATAATCGACAAATGGAAAAATCAAATGATCGAAAAATCTTAAAATAAAAAATCGGAACATCAAAATTCGAAAAATCACAATCAAAGTCTCGAAAATCGATATTTCAAGAATAGAAAATTCGAAAAATTGAAACGTCGAAAGATCGAATAATTGAATAATCGAAACAGTGAAAAATCTAAAAGTCGAATATCCAAAAATCAAGAAACTGAAAAATTAAAACAGTGAAAACTCGAAAAGTTGAAATTTCAGAAACGAAGAAATTGTAAAACAGAAATGTCGAAAAATCGAAAAATGGACAAATCAGGAAATCGAAAAATTGAAAAATCGAAAAATCGAAAAACTGAAAGATCGAAAAATTGAAAAATCGAAAACTCGAAAAACCGAAAATCCAAAATCGAACATCGTAAAATTGCATTTTTGGGAATTGAAAAATATCGAAAATTCGAAAAATCAAAAATCCAAATACTCGAAAACCCGAAAATCGAGATTTCAGAAAGTCGAAATTTGAAAAATTGTAATTGAAATATTGGAAAATCGAAAAATGAATATTTCAAAAAATCGTGGAATTGGGAAATCGAAAAGTCGAAAAAGCAATAAATCGTAAAATTAAAAAGTCGAAAAATCGAGGAGTGAAAAATTGAAATACTTACTGAAAAACGGAGAAAAATTTTCAAAGTTGAATTACCTAAAAATCTAGAAAGTGAAAAATCGAAACATTGCAAGGTCGTACGTTGGAAAATTCAAGAAATCGTAAAATAATCGAAAATCAGAAAATCAACATTAGAAAACTGGAAAATCGACATTTCGAAAATTCGGAAAATCGGTAATCGTGAAATCGAATATTGAAAAATCGAAAATAGAAAAATCGAAAAACCGAAAAATCAAAAATCGAAAGAATCGAAAACTCGAAAACCGAGATTTCAAAAAACCAAAAATCGAAAATTTGTGTTATAAAAAATAGAAACATGAAAGTCAAAAACTCGAAAATCGAAAATTCGAAAAACAGAAAATTCAAAATCGAAAAACCGAAAATCCAAAATAGAAAAATCAAAAACTAAAACGTCGAAACATCGAAAAATTGAAATCTCCAAAAATCAAAAAATTACAAATAGTCGAATAATCGAAAAATGGAAAAATCAAAAGATCGAAAACTCGAAAATTGAGTTTTCCAAAAACCTAAAATTGAAAAATCTTAATATAAAAAATCGAAAGATCAAAATTTTAAAATTCACAAAATCAAAAACTCTAAAATCGAAATTTCAAGAATCGAAAAACTGTAAATTGGAAAAGTGGAAAAAGAAAATCGAAATACTCGAAAAACCAAAAATCCAATTTTCAAAAAATCAAAATTGAAAAATTGAAATTGAAATTTTGGAAAATCGAAAATTGGATATTTCAAGAAATTGTGGTATCGAGAAATCGTAATATCGAAAAATCAATAAATCGAAAAGTCGGTAAATCCAAAAATTGAAGAGTTGAAGATTCAAAAAATCAAAGAGTTAAATCGAAATATCGAAAAATCGAGCTTTGGGAATTTCAAAAAATCGTGAAATCGGGAAATTGAAGAGTTGAAAAGCAGAAATTACGAAAAATCGAGGAATTCAAAAATCAAGAAACCGAAAAATCGAAGAGTTGAAAAACAGAAACATTAAAAAACAGAGAAATCGAAAAATTAAGAAATTGTAAAACAGAAATCTCGAAAAATCGAAAAATGGACAAAAATGAAAATCGGAAAACTGCATTTTTGATGATTGAAAAAAATCGAAAATTCGAAAAATCAAAAATCGAAAGACTCGAAAACCCGAAAATCGAGATTTCAAAAAGCTGAAAATTGAAAAATTGCAATTGAAATATTGAAAAATCGGAAAATGGATATTTCTAAAAATCCTGGATTCGTGGAATCGAAAAGTCGAAAAATCAAGAAATCGAAATGTCTATAAATCGAAAAATCAAAAAATTTAAAATCGAAACATTGGAATTGAAATTTACCAAAAATCTAGAAAGTGAAAATTCGAAACATTGAAAAATTGCAAGGTCGAAATTCCGAAAAATGAAGAAATCGTAAAATTAAAAATTCGAAAAATCGAAAAATAAAAAATCAAGAAATCAAAAAACCGAAAAATAGAAAAAAAATCGATAATCAAAAAACCAAAAAATTGAAAATTCGAAAAATTGGTAATCGTACAAACGAAAATAGAAAAATTGAAAATTGAAAAACCAAAAAATCAAAAACTCGAAAATCTAAAATTCGAAAAACAGAAAATTCAAAATCGAAGAACCGAAAATCTAAAATCGAATATCGAAAAACTGAAAATCGAAACACTAACCGGGAATCGAAAAATTTAAATTGAAATATTGAGGAATCGAGAAATCCAAAAATCGAAAAATCAAGAAATCGAAAGACCGATAAAGCGAAAAATCAAAAGGTTGAAAGCTTGAAGAATTGAAGAATAGAAATATTGAAAAACAAGTCGAATACTTGAAAAATCGTAAGTTCGAAAAATCAAAAAGTTTGAACATAGAAAAATTGAAAAACCGAAACATTGAAAAATTGCAGGGTCGAAATTACGAAAAATCAAGAAATGGTAAAATTAAAAAGTTGTTAAAATGGAAAAAATTATGAATCAAAAACTCAAAATTAGAAAACTGGGAAATCGACACTTGGAAAAATCGATAATCGTAAAATCGAATATTGAAAAATCGAATTTCGAAAAACCGAAAATTCAAAAATCGAAAGAATCGAAAACTTGAAAACCAAGATTTCAAAAAAACAAAAATCGAAAATTCGAAAAGCGGAAAATTCAAAATCGAAGAACCGAAAATCCAAAATCGAAAAATTGAAAATCGAAGAACTAATCGAAAATCGAAAAATTGAAATTGGAAGTATTGAAAAATCGAAAACTGGATATTTTGAAAAATGTTGGAATCGAGTAATCTTGTCAGTGCATCTCCTAGTTTTTTTAATAAATGATATTGATAAATATACAATAGAAAATATCTATATACACTTGACACACTCAGTACACTTTTTTTTATTTTTCAGTCACCGCGACTACTAACATCTTCATTAAACCCCTTGTCACGTCTCGAACTAACATTCAATTTTTTCCACCCAATAACTGCAACCTCCTTTCCACGACCACGTCAATCACCCATTTCCCCGCATCCGTCTTACCGCATTCCGCGAATTTTCCTCCATTTTTCCACCTGTCCCTCTCCACTCAGCGAAATCGGTCTTCCACTCCACCGCCCTATTACATTCATCGCGTTCATTTAAAAACAACAGCTGTCATTTCTTGAAAAATATCGCCTTCAAGTATTTTTGCGTCTGGAATTCCTGGATTAATCTCTAGCGCAGATCGATTCGTTTCGCTTCAAAAAAGTCCCGCCGCACACGAAACCCGCATGGACACAATACGATCTTTGCTCTTGATATTTTGACCCGACGATTCCGGTTCTTAGGCAGAAACGCGACGTTTCGGACTTGTTGAGAGTCCCGGGGACCAAGTGGTGCGGGAAGGGGTACTCCGCCGATAAGTACACCCGGTTGGGCGGCTTCTCCAGGACCGACAAGTGCTGCAGGAGGCACGATTTGTCCTGCAGGTTCTGGATAGGGGCCTTCGAGACCAAGTGGGGCCTGTTCAACTGGAGGATCAACACGATCATGCACTGCAGCTGCGACGAACGGTCAGTAGAAGGGTGCTGTATGTTGAGTGGAGATAGAGGTGTGGTTCGTGTAACACGGGCGAGGTCTGTGTCATTTTTCGGGCAAATATTACTGTACCTGTGACTTTATTTTGGTTGTTAAGTGGAACCACCTATATATTTTTCATATTTCAATTATTTGTGTAAAAATGTTTCGACATTTTTTTTTTATTTTCAAATATTGAATTTTTCTTTAGAAACTATTTATATATTTATGAGGAAATTCATTCAGTAACATAATAATTGTGAAACGACCTCTATATTTTTCATATTCCGAATCTATGTGATAAAAACGTTTAGAAGTTTTTTTTTATTTTTATCATCATAATAATAACCATTATATTATCCAAAAATATTCGCAAAGACATTAGTTCAGTTTTTAATAACTGAAGAGAAAAACGAAGTGATTTTAGAAAAAATAACAATATTTTGATTTTTACTTCCCGAGAGTAAGTAAGGAAGTATTGTAATCGAGTCCATCGGGCGACTGGCTACTTTTATGTTTTCCCGACGTTTCAAGACCCCTAGAATAAGAAAACAGATTTCTCGTTTTCGGCTGTTTTTACCGAATAAATCTAAAATATGCACAATATTAATTGTAGAAATTAGAGAAATTCTAAAATTTTGACCGAATTTGTGGAAAGATTCCAGATATTATCCTAGAGATACTGAAGTATCTAGAGTCTAGACAAATGCTGAAAATCTGAAAGTTCTCAAGATTATAGAAATGCCAGTGATTCTTAAGATTCAGAGATTCTCATGATTTCAAAGTTTCCAATGGTTTGAAAGATTCAAAAGGTTTAAAAGCTTCCAAACGTTCTAAAGAGACTTTCTAAAGAGCTTGAAGATTGCATACACTAGAAATTTCGAATTGTAAAAACACTAAAAATTCTAAATGAACTGAAGTTCTAATGTTCGAAATATAAGAAAGATCTAACAAAGTCTTCTAATGACCCTAGAAATTGTAGAAATTCGAAATTTTATAAAACTCCTAGTAATTCTAAAATTTCCAAAGTTTGAAAATATAAAGAGTCGAAAGATTAAAACTCTAAGAAAATTAAATTTTAAAAATTCTGAAAGTAGTAGAGTCTTGAATACCCTAATTATTATCTTATAAATCTTGGACATTGTAAAGATTCCAGATTCCAAAAATGCCAAAGATTTAGAGTCTGGAAAAATTTAGGAAGGGGGAAAATTATGATTGATCTTGAAAATTTCGGAATTCTGGCATAGCCGAAACGTGATAATTTTAGAAATTTTGGAAAAGCTGGAAACTGGCCATTTTTTGTATTTTGTAAAATTGGGCTAATCCGGAAAATACGAAACTTCTAGAATTTTTGAAAATTTTGCAAATTATGAAAATTCTATATGTATAATCTTAAGATTGTAGAGATTCTAAAGATTCCAAAGTTTCCAAAGATTCCAAAGGTTTAAAGGGTTTAAAAGATTTCAAAAATTCTAAAAACTCGAGACGTTCTAAAGATCATAAATATTCTAAATAAACTGAATTTCTAAGGTTCTAAAGAGAGAAAGATCCAACAAAATCTGTAAAAAAAGATTGAAAATACTAAAGACTCTGGATTCTAAAGAGTCTAAAGACTAATACTCTAAATACCCAAAGGTGCTAAAGATTTTAAGGGCTCTCTAAAAACTTTAAGGATTCTGAAAACTCTAGGACTCAAAAGTCAAAAAGATTTTTAAAATTCTGTTTCAGATGTTTCAAAGGTTCTAAAGGCTCTAGAGAAATTCAAAAATCCAGAGATTCAAAAGGCTCTAGAGAAATTAAAAAAACCAGAGATTCTAAAACTTGTAAAAATCACGTAAACTCTTAGAATGCCAAAGATTTTAAAGATTCCAAAGACTAAAGAAAACAAAACTCCTAAAAGTCTAAAAATCATAAAGATCTGAAGAATGTTTTCTTTAATTTTTGTAAATTCTACACTCTAATTATTATCTTCCTAAATCCTAGAGAATGTAGAAATTCAAAAATTCGAAAGATTTAGAGACTCTTGAGGTCTATAAATTTCGGAAAATCTGAAAAAATTTAGAAAGTGGGGAAAATGTGGTAAATCTATAAATCTTGAAAATTTCGGACAAGGTTGAATTTCAGAATTTTGACATAACTGGAACCTGAAAATTTTGGAAAATTTGGAACTTCTGGGGATTTTGCGTATTTTGGAAAATCTGACAGATCGGGATAATCTAGAAAATCTGAAAATTCTAGATTTTTTGAAAATTTCGCAAATTATGAAAATTCCGAAAAATTAAATAAAAAGTAAAAAGTTAAAAGTAAAATCGAAATATCGAAAAATGAAGAAATTGGGAAACTGAAAAATCTAAAAATTGAAAACTCGAAAATGCGAAAACTAAAAAACCGAGATTTCAAAAAGCTAAAAGTCGAAAAATCAAAATTTGAAAACCGAAAACCAAAAAATCGAAAATTTGAAAACGAGATTTCGAAAAACCGAACTATTGTGAAGCTGAAGATCGAGATATCCAAAAATTCGAAAATAGAACATCGAAAATCGAAAAATCAAGATCTTGAAAAATCCAAAATTGGAAATTTCGAAAAATCGAATAGTGAAAAAACCGAAACATTGAAAGATCGAAAAATTGAACACCGAAACATTGAAAAATCGAAAAGTAGGAATATTGACAAATTGAAACAATGAAAATTGCGGAGAAGGTTGAATTTCAGAATTCCGGCAGAACTGAAACCTGATAATTTTAGAAATCTTGGAAAATCTGGAAATTCTGGGGATTTTGCGTATTTGGAAAATCTGAAAAATTGGGCTAATCTTGAAAATCTAAAAATTCTAGAAATTTTTAAAATTTTGCAAATTATGTAAATTCCGATAATTAAAAAAAAAGTAAAAAATTATAAATTCCCAAATTTTCTGAAGATTAAGATTGTAGAGATTTTAAATATTCCAAAGTTTCCAAAGGTTTGAAAGATTTAAGAGCTTTAAAAGCTTTCAAAGGTTCTAAAGACTGGAGACATTCTAAAGAACTTAAAGATTCAAACACCAGAAATTTCAAACTGTACATGTACTAAAAATTCTAAATAATTTAAATTTCTAAGGTTCTAAATTCAAGAAAATCGTAGTCTAAAAATCGAAAATTCGAGAATCGAGATTTCGAAAAATCGAAGATTCGAAAACCGAAAAAATGTGAACTGGAAAATCGAGATATCCAAAAATCGAAAACTCGACAAATCGAAAAATTGACAGTCGATAAACCGAAAATTCCAAAATTAAAAAAAAAATAGAAAATGCGTGGAATCGAAACATTGAATAACAGACAATTCGGAAAATCTAAAAATCGAGATCTTGAAAAATCGAAAATTGGAAATTAAAAAAAAAATCGTTAAATCCAGAAATTCAAAACATATTTGTCAAAAAATCGAAGAGTGGAAAAATCTAAACATTGAAAGATCAAAAAATTGAACACAAAAACGAAAAGTAGAAATTTTTAAAAAATCAAGGAACTGGAAAATCAAAGAATCGAAAAATCAAGAAACCGAAAAATAATAATGATAATAATAAATCATTTATTGTTCTATAAAGATAATACAATACACTACAGATTTAAAAAATATAAAATCCCAAATTTTCTAAAAATTAAGATTGTAGATTAAAATATTCCAAAGTTTCCAAAAATTTGAAAGATTCAAGAAGTTTAAAATCTTTCAAAAATACTAAAAACTGGAGACATTTTAAAGATCTTAAAAATTCTATACACCAAAAATTGCAAATTGTGCAACATATACTAAAGATTCTAAATATTCTAAATAAACTAAATTTCTAAATCGAAATATCGAAAAATTAAGAAATCGGAAAACTGAAAAATCGAAAAACTGAAAAATCAGAAACTCGAAAATCGAGATTTCCAAAATCGAAGATTCGAAAAACCGAAAAATTGTGAATACGAAAATCGAGGTGTCCAAAAATCGAAAATTCGACAAATCGAAAAATTGACAGTCGATAAAGCGAAAATTCCAAAATTGGAAAAATCAAACATCGATCAAAAGTCCAAAAATCGAAAACTCGAAAATCGAGATTTCAAAAAATAGAAAATTCGAGGAATCGAAACTGAATAATAGAAAATTCGGAAAATTGAAAAATCGAGCTCTTGGAAAACCGAAAATTGGACATTTCAAAAAAAAATCGTGAAATCCAGAAATTCAAAACATATATATCACATATATATATATATCAAAAATTCGAAGAGTGGAAAACTCGAAACATTGAAAGATCGAAAAATTGAACATCAAAACATTAAAAAATCGAAAAGTAGAAATTTTTAAAAAATAAAGAAATTGAAAAGTCGGAAAATTGTAAAATGAAAAAATAAAGGAATTGAAAAATCGAAGAATCGAAAAATCAAGAAACCGAAAGATAATAATGATAATAATAAATCATTTATTGTTCTATAAAGATAATACAATACACTATAGATTTGAAAAATATAATATATCAAATTTTCTAAAGATTAAGATTGTAGAGATTCTAACTATTCCAAAGTTTCCAAAGGTTTGAAAGATTCAAAGGGTTTAAAAGCTTTCAAAGATTCTAAAAACTGGAGACATTTTAAAGAACTTACAGATTCCATTCACCAGAAATCGCAAATTGTACATATACTAAACATTCTAAATAAACTAAATTTCTAAGTCGAAATATCGAAAAATGATGAAAACAGAAAACTGAAAAATCGAAAAATTGAAAAATCAAAAAATGAAAAACTCGAAACTCGAGATTTCAAAAAGTTATAGTCGAAAATTTGAAAATAGAGATTTCCAAAATCCAAGATAAAAAAAAAACTAAAAATTGTGAACTCGAAGATCGAGATATCCAAAAATCGAAAACTCGACAAATCGAAGAATCGACAGTCGATAAACCGAAAATTGGAAAAATCAAACATCAAAAAATCAAAAATCCAAAAATCGAAAACTCGAAAATCAAGGTTTCAAAATATAAAACATT